TCACAACTAGGATACATTTTTGTTTATGGTAGCAGTAGAAAGCCAAGTACCACATTTAAACATCTGTTTTTCTAATATAATTTGATATTGCTGGGACAGAGACAAAACTCTGATATTAACTACTAGCCCATTCTTTTTAAACAAATCTTTAACTACACGTTAAACATTTCTTCAAATATATTCATTTTAGCTCAGTGTGTCAGCCTACTACCAAACCAAAACAAGCCAAGAGAATACAACCACCTAAGCATGCTTCAGGGCGCAATCCTATTGATAGGAGTTAAACCAATACAATTATACTTGTGTAGGTCCCTATGGACATTCTTAATAAAGATTTTTTAAATTATTATTGTCCTGCTTCAGGTTTATGAAACATTGCCTAGTTTACATAATATGATACTTTAGGAACTCTTTAGCAGGAGTTTCCACATTTCCTCCCAAAATGAACCTGGTGGTTTATAAGGTTCCTTCTGCCCACTACCTGAAGTCACCACCCACCAAGAAAATCCCATGCATCATCAAACAATAGTTTGCAATTGGCCTACCTACAAGAGAGTAGCACATGATAATGTAACAAAAGACATTGCTGCTTTTAAGTTCCCAGTCCTGTAGTTACTCCATCTGGGAAGAATCTTCCATATGCGTCAAGTGACTTTGTGAAACCCATCCAATCCAGAGGGGCTTTCATGACAAGCACCAGTAAATGTGCCTTTCAGTGGCCTTCTGGTCCCCTCTTTCAGGTAATATCTTGACTACAGCATCACAAGATCAACCACAAACATGCAGCAACTTATGCTGGTTTCATCGAGGAAAACATCTCTGGATTGTTTTCTTGTACATCACTGTAGCACATCTACATTATAAATGTGCACTGGCAAATACACATATAAGAAAAACCAAAAACATATCACTCTCCAACAGAAATTTCAAACTGCAAATATGATCTCTAGTATCAAACTGCTCTAAGCTGAATCTTAACACAAACACAAAAAAAGGTTTATGGGAAGGTTATAAAGACTTTTCAGGTAATTATTTTTTCTCATGCTTAAATCTGCTCATATGAGTTTAAAACTCCATGAGAGTCAAATTTATCTGACACTTTCATTTGAATGAAAATAACTATAAAAGTTATTTTAGTCTAAGTCACATTTATTAAATCTGTATGTTACCTGGATGAGAATGGCACTGTTCCAGGCTAAACATGTGTGAATACACACACACACAAAAATTGCAAAACTAAACATAAAATTAACAGTAGGAACATACAGATACTATACTAGAAGCTGTTTAATAAATCAACAATGTAAACACTCATCCCATTAAAACACCCCCACTAGCAATTCCAATCATTGGTCTACCTAAACGACTAGGACAAACCAGCATTTAGAAGCACTGGGGCCACATCCGGAAGATGAAACCCAGATGTTGGAGACAACAGCTCCTTCAGTTGCATGTGATTAGCTCTCAAAGAAGTCGTACTTTTAACCTAAGCTCCTTACACGGTACAGAAGGAATCTGGATATTTCAGCATGAGATGGCTGAGCAGACAGACTAAGCACAACGTAATCTAAAGTCAACGCATCCAGCGTGGAGCTGACAAAATTTAGCCACTGGGAAAGCATAGTGAATGAGGAGGGACTCCTTAGTTCTACTCCCAGAACAGCCAGCATAGAGATACAAAAAAGTTCTTTTCTTTCTGAAACATGATTTCCATTCCACAAACCTTCACGGCGGGTGAGTCTATACCATCTTTACTTAACAGTGCTGCTATGTTTTGTTTGTTAGTTTAACAATATAGCTGCTGCTGACAGTGCGCAGGATGGTAGCTCCGAAAGGAAAATACCATGGTTTAGTTCCTTTACCAGTGGGGGAATCTGTACCCGTATCTCCATCTTTCAGGAGAACACACAAACTGCAAGTCAGGGTCTTCCAGGCAGCATCTGTTCACCTCTCCTATTTGAGGCTGGTTTAAAAAAAGGCTCTAGATTTAAAAAAACCCACACAAATGTAATGAAACATGACTCTAGAGTATAATGATAGGCCCTTGGGGAGAAAAAGGCAGGAAATATTATGCTCCACTTGTTTGCTCTAAGGAACATCTAACATAAAACTTCTGAAATCAAGGATCAGAGCCTGCATGTCTCCAGTCTTGGAGGGCAACATCTTCTCATACATCCTCTTTCTGGCTCAGTGAATCACACATTCTTTTTCTGGATAGTAACACAACTTCAGCCAGGAGAACTGAAGACAACACACAGCTTGGAGACTGGGAGATTCGCCCAGGAAGTGGAATATGTAGGTTGATCCCTCCAGGCAAAAAAGGAATATGAAGCAGGGTCTACCACATTCTGAACAAATGCTTTAGCTAATAGTCGTTAAAAAGCAGCAGCACCTCCTCTTCCAACTTCCTTCTAAAGCTGTTACTGTACTTTATAGAAGACTGACTCTGCAGCACATTGTTGGGAACAGAGAATTCTCACCTGACTGAACTCCCCAGGAGACTATGGCAAAATAACAACATCCAGAAAAAAAGACAATTATGAGCCAAGCATCATGCTAACCGTCTCTCATACACGTGGAAAAATAAAAATCAGATATCCGAGGAACTTTAAAGCTATTAGCTATACTGCCTACAGTGCTTGGGCACCTTCCAAACTTGATGATATGAAACTGAGGGTTTTCAGGACCACAGTTTTTGACCACAAGCACCTAAACCAGTTCTATTAAAAGTATTTCTATGAACCTATTTATTGGCAAGTTAGGGGAGAGGGGGGGTTAGAGTCAGAGGTCATGTCAAGATTGCATTGAGCACTTTCATTTCTTCCCAAACTCATCACTGAGAGACAATTAACACTAAACCACAGAATACTTCTGCAGAGTGATCATTATGTTGAAAATAGGAACATTTGTCAAATAATTCCAATTTGTTACCTATCTACCCAGAGCTCATCTTTTTATGTAATGCAAGTTAGGAAGTGGCACAGATTAAAAAGCTACCCATTCTAACAAATGCATGTCTGACATCTGTCAGTTTGCCTATTTATTTATAATCATGACAATTTTCCCCCCAATATATTACTGCTAATTTGATCTATGTATTCGATTTGCAGCATCCATTCCCTGGGCAGAATCCCACAGATATCCCCAAGCACATGTTTGCTTTGGCACATTGTTTAAATAAACCTACTGGAAAACGCACAGAGATAACAGACAATGGAAGAGTCAGAAAACCATCTACGCTAATTAAATTCATGTGTAAGGTTTATCAGTTACTTACACAGTATCAATACATGCAAGATATGGCAATTTCAACGTTATTCTGTCATTCACGTAAGAGCTTTCAACATTTGCTCTCTAAGTGCAGTGAACCTTTGTATGAAGCGTCACCGTCCTAGCTTTACAAGGACAACACTGCTGATCACAATACTATATAAAAGTGTAGTACTTCCTAAATAACAAGAACTAATTGAGCAACAACTCGTGCATAACACTCTCTCAATTCCGCATCTAATATTCAATCCCACATCTTATGTTACCGATTTAATAATGTAAAGGTTTTGGCTAAACAGTCAACTTCAGGTTCATAAACACACGTGGAAGGCATTTCCAGAGCACTGTTTCTGGGCATCTTGAAATTTCCTGGCAAACGGCAATTGAAAAGGATCTCTGCTCCTCCCCCCTTCAGTGACTCTAAATGGTGTAGGATTTTTGTGTCGCAATTTACAAACTAACTTTTGTTATCCATCTACTCTGTCTTACAATACAAAGGAGAAAAAATGTCTTACGAATTTCATTTCACTTGCACTGCAGCAGCACGTTTCAGCAGAGGCAGGAGACTGAAGAAACTACCAGATGCAGACCTGACGGTACTGCATGCAGGATCCTACAAATACCGACCGAAGATGCCCAACTACACAGCACCCTCACAAACTCAACTGGAATTTGAAACTTGTCAAGAAAGGCAAATATCAGAAACGAGGCACTTAAATCTGAAGACTAACTAGACTCGGTAACCAAGGGAGGCTGACTCCCCGGACGGGTGCACGCTGACAGCAGGCACACCTCATCCGCACAGGTGCTCGCCCCAGAGTTGCTGCGGGACACAGGGAGCTGGGGGGAATTCAACCAGCAAGGGTGATGCTCAAGGTCTGAGGAAATGTAAACCAGCAGAGAAGGAAGTGCTTTTAGAAGGAACGTTACTGGGGGAGTCTTGTACTGCCCACTCTTTGTTTCATATTGGCTTTTTTTAACCGCATCTATATCTTCCCACCTCTTCCACACGACTTGCTTCTCCCTCAATTTCTTAGTCCTGCTTTAATAGTTATCTAAAGAAGATCAACATTTCCACAATACCAACAGAGTGGAATTCTTTCCAGATATTTCTCCTCCCAAACTACAACTTCAGAACTCCAGTCTCTTCCTCTCCTACCCTCCCACTGTAAATACAATTCTATGTGCAGTGGGATGATTTGCAGTGATAGATAATCCCTTCCAGGACATGGAACACACGGGTTTAGAAGTCACCTGCAAGACTCGTGCGAATGGCTTGTGTGTTACATCTGTGGAGTAATTTCAGGACAAGGCTCTATTTCTACAATATACTTGTCAAAAAAATATCTACGTCACTATGATAATCAAAATACAAGAAAAATATTATTTTAGTCTGGATTTGTAACTCTTTTTGGACCGAAAACAATCACACTAAATTCCAACTTAGTGGAGGGGAAGGAAGGGCATCATGATGTATTTCCAATATGGGAAGAGGAAGATTTAAAAAGGGATATAAACTGTGCCCTTCGGTAACAGACATTCTTCAGTAATAATGCTGGCTTCTGAAACGGTACCTGTGTGGGGAATTGACTAAAATCACTCCTGCACTGGGCACGTAAAAGCTGGGCAAATATAAAGATTCCCTCTTTCCCATGCATACTAAGTATGTTAAGGTAACCTGTAAACACAATTTTCTCTTCCACGTGTGTGTCAAAGGCAGCTACACTATGTTTGCTCTGCAAAGTCAAGTGCTGCTTTATTTACTTATTTTACTTCCATTTTACTTACTTAGAACAATTTCCATATGGTAACATGCCTTTAATGACACTCATGACTCAAATACTTGTCAATGTAGTCAAACAATATCTACTGACATGAGTCACTGAAGTTAAATAAATGTTATTAGAAATGAGACAAAACAAAAGGCAAATATATATATATATATATATCCAGCAGAATGATAGGGATCATCACCATTTGATCAATCTTCCCTGTGAGTTATATCTGCAAGTTACTTTGAGGTAGCGCTAGAAAGAAGCTGTTGGTCCAAGAGCATCCCTGCAAAAAGAAACATTCATGGCTTAAGTACCATTTAACTTCTTTGTACCCTTTTAAGTATTCTTTACCCTTTTTGGCCTGTTTCTTTCTCCCTGTTCACTGACTGCAGGATTAGTAGCCCCTCAAACAATCTACTAAAGCCTTTCTGTTCAGAAAAGCGATAGAAACAAAACTTTTCTTGAAGAAATTAGCGGGTTTTGAGTAAAGGCACTATCTATTGCAGCTAGGTGCAATTAAGAGTTTATAAAACCAATACTAGATAGTCTTACAAGAAAAACCTTCATCAAGCTTAAAAACAAAAAAATCCCAACCAACCACGTTTCAGATCAGTAGAGACAAAACACAACTGGAAGAAGTGAAAGTGTGGTGTTGAAAAAGTTAACTTCTAATAATTTTTTTTTTCTTTTTTTAATGCTTCCACTGCAAACAGAGCTTTGTAGAACTGTATGACATATTCAGGTCTTTGCATAAGCTAACTAATGCAGGTGGGTAGTTGTAGAACAGCTGTAAGTTTAGTCAATAAAAAGTTTCAGCAATGCATTGTTCTAACAGTTCTGATGCACTCCCTTTTTCCTGTGTTCAAGGTTCACTGGTTAACACACCAGTACAGGAAGTTTGCATTCAGTATGCCTTCACAGTAAAGAATGTGCAACGCACACACCATCTTGATCCCATGTATGCACTCCTAACTGGAAAGAGGAATTGACTAGTAAGGCTCAAGGAAACACAAAAAGAGGTCAGACAGTTGTTTTAGGACAGTATCACATGGGCTGCTATCAACAGACTCACTTCCTCACCTCATTTTTCTTTTATGTTGTCTGGAAGAAAACACAGCCCCAACATTTCTCAGGTTTGGGGAACTAATGGCCCAACCAACCTCTTCCACTGTATTTTCAGTATATGGGTACTTTACAGTCCAGAACAGAAGGCGCATGCATGTATGAGAACAGCCTCTAATGCTGAGTGTAGAGACCTTGTTAACAGGCAAAATCTGCATAAATGGGGTGGTTACAAACTGTGACTTTTTTAGAGGTTTATGTACTGTGGCGGTACAGCGTCAGACTAAGTGAAATCACACATCTACGTGGGCCCCTCATTACATAGCTCACACAATCAACCTTCCAAGTGCCACACAGCAGCACACACTCCACAGTATTTCTGCTGAACCAAACACACATCCTTAGCATCGTATTTTTAACTCATAAGGCAGTTAAAGGGTCCACCAATTACTTGCTGAAGCAGTACAGTGCTAGGTGATGCTATGCAAGCCGCTTCAAAGTGGGATATAACCCAGGCACAGACCTAGAAGCCGTCTTGCTGCTTGTGGCAACGGTGCTTGCTAAATACAAAATCCTTAGCTTAGCAGAGCAGTGCGTACCACCAAGCTCAAGCACCACAGCTATGCACTACAACTGAAGTGGTATACAAACCCTGTATGGTTTTGAAGTTTTAACACTGTCTAAATTCAAGGGGCCTGCATCTACTATCTTGAGTTTCCTCCCTACTGCAGTCCCCTGAAACAGTTCTACACATTCACACAATCACCCCCTTTGCCACCCAGAATCTTTGCTTCATTTATTCCACCTTCTGTCACATTCCTGATAATAATCTCCCTACCATCACCCTCCAGAGACTCACCAATTCACTCAAGTAATCTGTTCCCAGCTACCCTGTAACTACATCTCCTCAAAGCAGGGAAAACAGTTGCTAAAACTGTGGTATTACTCCCCCTGCCTAGACGAGGTTTTTTTTGCTTTCGGTCTCTTCCTACATGTACATCTGCACTAAATCCCTGAAGAATGAACTCCCTAAAATACTCCAAAAGCTTTTTCTGTTTTAGAGCATCTGCATTTCACAGGCAGGACTTAAAGTATTCCTAGCTGAAATCAAATTGCAAAGAGTGAGATTCTGCTCAGCAGCTAGAAATGACCTGCCAACACCAAGTCATCACTCTGCAATACAGTATTTGTTTTAAATTTAAGCACAGCATACAGGTTATGATTCCCACTTTAGTTACATTAAGTGATAAGAAGGCCAGAGAACTTTATTCCCATCTGCCATCATAGCAATTATGGTTTAGATTGCCCCCAGAACACACATGGCAGCACCAAAGTGTCTTGGCTAGATTGAGTAACTTCCACAACTATTAGCTATAATGATTTCTGCTACCTTTTTTTCTTGGAAGAGTATTCTTCTGTTGCCAGCCTAACCTATTTTATTGTTATGTTAATTAGTAAATACTTTTGCATACACATGGGCTTAAGTAGTCCCTATGACTGGAAAAATACTTTATACCCTTCAAGCTAAGAAGAGTTTAGAGGAAGCCACTCAGAAGTTGCTAGCTTAAAGCAGAACCTTCCTCGTTGCTATCTCCCCTAATCTCCTTTGATTTGAATACTGAAAACTGTCATCCTACTAAAATTTTATAACTTTATCACTATAAAACTCCTGAGCATGAAGCCTGAATAAATCAGAGATGTTTAAGACAGGGGGCAACTTAGTTGAGTTGTTACTAAGATAAGGATTTTTTTTTTTATTATTCCCAATGGATTCTTTTTCCTCTTTTAAACCAGAAAGCTATTTTCTTCAAAGACTTGTAGGTTTAAGAACATGTATAATGTTACACCAGTTTCTTTGCTGGAAAGTGTCAGTTGAAAAGACTAACAATAAAAACAGGAGTAAAAACGTCCATAGGGATTATCCTTAGTCTTTGGAATGTTTGCATCTATGGCATCTGAAAGTCTGCCCTTCTGGATTATTTAAAACACTGTATTAGTAAAGCAATTCTAACTGACCTAGCAGATGAACAGTAGTACAGTTAGTGCCAAGAGACTGCAGGAAAAGAGTGGGCTCAAGTGTTCCCATAGCAAACTCTGGGATGTCTCCCAAATACACACATTATCTAAGCAAGCATGCTTAGATGTTGTTAAGCATGTTAAGAGCTTGTAAAAGATTGCCTAGGTAACCTGGAAATACAAGAGAGCTAGTTTTTGCTAGTGTTCTGATGCCCATACTGAAACAAAAACAGGTGAAATACCCCTACTGCCTCCAGCTAAATTCCACAAGCCAGAAGAGAATGCGCTTCACATATATAAGTAAAATCCCTTGCTGGCAGGTTTGCAGAAACAAAATTTTATTTACACAGGCAAGTCTAACTTTAGACCCCATTGAACTCTTTACATTTCTAGAATATTTACATGATTTCAAGATGCTCCAAGTAGAGTGATGAACAAAAAAAAATTACAGAAACTGTCAAAAGCATAGCAAAAAAACCCAACCTATCATTGTGCTTTAAAACTTATGATCTAGAGTAATGTAGAAGAAATGTAATTTTAGCACCTTGGTCATAACGGTCATGCTATATAAGACACTTAAATAGCAGGGGGGATGTCAGAAGTGACCGTATCCAGAGGTTGCCAGTGACAATTCATGAGGGAATCATAGAGTTCTTCACTTGTCTCCATAAATTGTCTGTTCATTTCATCAACATCCAAGTAAAGCTGTGGATCTGAAAATAAAAGCCTGGTAAGTACAAGTGTCAGATCTTGGGAGGCACACACACAAAAACCTCAAGTAAATGCCCAATAAAATGTGTCTTAGCTAAATTTGTAACAGTAAATGTAATAAGATGTGTGTTCACCCAGGATTTTAACCTGACCAATCCAGCTCATTTTGGAATCTATGTATTAGCATGCTAGGACTATATTGGTATTTCAAGATAAAAAGGCAGATTTAAGGGTAATTAACCATGAAACTCCTCAAATCCATTTAATTCCTTTCTACTACAATGTGTTAGGCTGAATAAAAGTTTCCAAACACTAACACAAGATGTCTCTATGTGAGGAACTGTCCACAAACCTTCCAGGCCAAACAATTAAGCTCTGTACCAAATCTTTAAGTGCAAGTTGAGTCCCCCTCTTAGGAACCACAATGTAGGATTTTACCTCAGAGTTTGGAAAACAAAGCTTTTGCCTATTAAAGAGTTTAAAATAGAATATGCTTAGCAGGATCAAGACAGAGATAGGACAACTGGGTATTATATGATTTTGGAAGGAGGATGAAGGCAAAGTTACAAGAAACCTACTGTGAAGTGTTGTTGACAGTGTCCCGTTCTACTTGACATGGTGTACACTACCAGCTTTAAAATCCTACCTCATCTCAGCTATAACCCATAAAGGATCCCACTACATCAGCTGAATTTCAAAGATATTCTTCATCCAGTTGTCACTGGTTTATATTATTAAAGGGCACAAGTATGGCTAAATTTATGTTGCAGTGACAGAATCATTATTACCTTCAGTTATTAGGTCATCATTTATTTCAGTCATAGCTGAAGTTTCCTAGAAAAAAAAGATAAGAAAATGTCTTAAGTTTAATCATAATCCATTTCAGAAAGCATCACAAACCCCAATTAATTTTATACTCCCAAACCATTCCCTCCTTTCACAACTACAAGAATAGGTAGGACGGGAGGGGTTGGGAAGGAGAGACAGTGTTAGTTGGTAGGGTTTTCTGGTTTGGGTTGGTTGGGGGGTTTTCTAAATTTGATTTTTAAAGAAAATCACAGTATAGTTCAGGTTATAGCTTCCGGAAGTCCCTTCTAACTGAAACTGGCTGATCTAAGATAAGACAATCTTATCACAATTCTTTAATTTTCTTTAAGCAAAGTACATCTCTTCCAACAGGAAGAGAGGAAGCCTACACAATTATGCTGTCAGAACTGTTATTTGGCATACATGAACAAGTAACAGTATATAAATCTCCAATTCTACAGAGGTACTACTTAAGCACTTAAAGACACCTCTCAATGAAGCCTGATATTCTAACCTCTACACTAAGCAAAAAGCACAATTTAAGTTTTGGGGATTCTTTTTGCTCTTACACAATTCATACAACTTTTGTTTGTGAACTTTTTTCTTTAAAGCAAGGACATAGTATCTTTACCTCAAAAACAGCTGGAGCCATAACAGCATCTCCTAAAGAGCAGTCTCCAACAGCTTGCATGCTATCATAGGGAGCATAGGAGCTGTAGTTGTAGTCAGCATAAGGATCATAACCCCACTGCGAGTAGTAGTTCTGATAATCCTGGTAATAATCATTATAGTTGTATGACTGGTACCGCTGGAATTCTGCTTTCAGTCTGAAAAATGAAAAATTATATACAGTTAGAATTTGAGAATAATAAGCTGTAAAACCAGTTTTGAAGTTAAACAATTTGCCAGCCTACTGATTTCAAAGTTTAGCTTTTCTAAATAGCTGTCTAAGCAACAGTTTAAATCACAGTACAAGATCTCATGTTTATACAGAAGCAAACGAACACTCTCACCTTCACCAAAACAAAGTAATTATTTGCATGGATTAACTTGAGCCATAACACTTATCTGTACTCAAGTATTTTTAGTATGTAAAAGCAAGCTGATGATAAAAACCATATTTATTAAGACCAGACACATTTATCAAGCACAGCTGCTTTAAAGATGCAGTCTTAATCAGCCCTTTTATCTTTTGTTTGGTTAATACTAAATGTTGTTATTTCCACAAACAAGGGGTGAAGTCAGATGATCTGTTTCAGAGGAGCATCTGACACTTGCCTGCCATTTCAACATGTCTACCTCCACCTGCTCAATTTTTAGTCCATGAACAACAGTTGTGAAGTATAGCTGTCAGATGAAGTCAGCACTGCCATTATCCAGCATGAAGCCAAAGCAGCAGGAAACCAAAGGGCCAGTGTTTAGTTTTCACTACCTTCCCTCTTCCCAAGTAGATTTTTCTCAGGGACAACTTCACACTAATGAGAAGAATCAATGCACAAGCTTCATCTGTACTAAAACAGAGGTACAAAACCAGTAGTATGCTATATGTAATACATTCAGATAACCCAGTTGCACATTCTGAGAAGTCCTCTATGCTTAGTCATTTCTTCTCTGATTATGTACAGGAGTATCTCCTTTGTTTGCTGAGTTCAAATTCTCTGCATCTCCATGTCATTACATAAAAATCAGATCTAGGCTTTTTGTCAAGAATGCAAACTGAAGGAGCTCAGAAACAGAGTTCCCAATTTAAGTGACAAGCTACTCTGATGGCTGGATATTTTGATGCTTGGAGGGTATAGCACTCAGCCATTCAAAAAGATATAGATTAGTAATATGAATTTTAATACCTACAGTACATTTGTTTCATTACTGTAAAACTACATATGCATTCTAATAAATAAGTATTCTATCATCTTGCTACTGTGGTACACAAATTACTACGTAATGTCTCAAAGTTATCTGCTTCCAGCTGCTTTCCTACATACATCTCTGTAGGAAAGAAAAATGTGGAAATACCGCTGATGCTCTTCTGGATAGCAGAAGTGAGGCAACCTGTTTCTTTGTGACCTCTTCTTGCTTTCAAAATAAATTTAGGGCAATTCTGAACAGAGCTCTCTTGGGTAAGAGCAATTCCATTCTAAAGCAGAGAGGCAGCATTTGCAGAATTATCCAGGGTAAAAAAAAACAAAAACTGTTATTTTCACTATTGAACAGAACACACAAACAAACCTAATGAATGTCCTGAAGTTGGTTTACACGACGTTCTATTTTCACCTGTATCCTGGATCAAAGTTTATCAAATTTGGTATCAAATCTCTAACTGTTCAGAAGCTTGAATTGCTTTAAATAACTGACTGAAAGAACTGAGCCAGCAGAGTAAAAAGCTCTTTTGGAACCAATGAACTTTAAATTCCTTGCTGTCCCAATCACTTTAAAAGCAAAGATTAGTTTTCTAAACAAACTGTTCCAGCAACATCTCCTTTGGCTTCTTCCCCCCTGTATTCCATATTCTTCCACTTAAGGAGTTCCTTCCTCTGCCAGCCTACTGTAAAACTAGTGACATGCTACCTTGCCTAAACGAGAGGGAAAGGTCTAGAAGAGTGCCCTAGCATATAAAACCATTTGATGTCTCTTCTAACTTTTTCAGGCCCAAACCTGGAAAATATTTATGAATGCATTAAGCTTTGCTACTATAAGAATTAAGGCTGGTTACAACAGCAGCTAAGCCCAAGTTCCACAATCTGGCTAGACTTAAAGAGTTTTATTTCCCCAGCAATCCTGAAAGAGGTTGATGAATCCAGGGTCTCAAAACATAATGCTTCCGTATTTTTGGTTTTGTAGACTGCATCATGTGTACAGCCATTATAGCAAAGGCCACAGACTTTACAAAGGCAGAGCTACAAGAATCTGATTATTCAGAATTACTACATCAATGCACAACTCATTTGTTACCTTTTAGAAATTCCTATGCTCAGCCGGATTCGTTTTCCCCCCAGACCTGGTGCATTCTGGCAGTCTTGCAGTGCCCTCATCTGATCACCTTGCTCACCAAATCTGACAAAGGCATACCCTCTACAATTTTCAAAAGGGAGAAAACAAATTCTAGTATGCATAATAGTTACAAAGCTAAATAATTCAATTTCTCTCTTCTACAAAAACAGAAAATAGTAGCTACTATAGCTTCCATTAACTAAGCAACCTCTCTGGCATGTGCGCATGCACAGAAGATGCTTTCAAACTAAAGACTTGGGCCAGAAGCAAAAAGCTTGTTCTTTAATAGCATTAAGATGCAACTTGCTGAGAGGCAGCAAAACAATATATTAATTACTGTCTGCGCAAGTAATCATATTTCTTATTTCTGCGTTTACAGCCATTAATTTATCAGTTAATATTAACCCACTCCTACCACTGTACAGAACTAACATTCTTTTTAAACTTGCTTTCTCAAGTTTCTTGAGTAAGTCTATTACAGCCAGTACTGTCTGAACAGCAAACTCACCTATCTCTGCTTGACTCACTGCCTGGCCATTATTAACTTCTGATAGGCTTTATTTACTAATGTTAATAGGTTCAGTCTCCCAAGTCCCTAAGACTTGCCAGGCCTTACATTTTTCTCCCACATATAAGAAGGGAATTATTTTGTCTTCAGTACTGCAGATGACTAAGTGAATGCACTGCTGTACGTAAGCAGAGCAGCACAGATTTCCGTGCACAGCTCTCCGTTCTCCCACCAACTAATTTCTTTCATGCAGAAATACATATGGCTAAACTAAGGCTTATCACATTAACTGCTTAAACTAACCAGGAAGTTTTAGAAATGCAAGCATCTATGCTGTTCAAATAAAAAAAAAGTAATGCTAATCTCTCTTCCTGTCTCTTGAGAAAATGTATGAACAGTTTCAATGCAAGTTCTTCTGTATTACTTATAGAGGCAAGCATATCAACAGCATTACAAATTTCCACAGACATTACCTGGAATATCCCAGCAGGTCTGTTGCTATTTTGCAGTCAATACATGAGGGGTACCTCTTCAGGAAATAGTCATAGAGCTGGAAATCATCCACTTCTGGAGTAAGCTCCCCAACAAATATCGAATAATCTGGTCTTTAAAAACAAAATAGAGCATTTGTCAGGTTTGAGATTAAAGTATCTGATTGCAGCATTACGGCACCTAACATATAAGCAGATAGTTACAGCTGGACAAATAAAGAGACAAAGCCTGAGGAGAGTATTAACTGCAAAACTCTGCTGAGTAATGTGCAGAACTGCAATGCCATCACTCCAGCATGAAGTTCTCAACTTCTCTGGGTCCATTCTACCACTTTTGCAAGAAAAGCATTTTGAAGACCCATTTCATAAAAAAACTTTTAGAAGTTGGTTTTAAAAAGAAATACTTATTGTCTGAAGCAGAGGTGGGAAGGAAGGAGGCACACAAATACTAAAAAAAACCACCCCTATTAACTCAAGTTACAGCTGTAATTCAAAAGAGCTATGACTATTTTGCCATCACTTCTCAGTGATCGTGGGAGAGAGAAACTACAAAAACCCCTTCATTAATTCTACTAGCAATACATTTCCATAAGCAATACTTAGCATATAGGCACCAGATGTGTCATTTTAAGATTTTAAGAATAAATTACAGCATTCACTCCCTGATCACTACTAATTAAAACAGATAAGGGGTCAGCTTCTCCTTTCAAAAGGTCTTTACCTGGCTGCATTAGTACTACTGGGGACAAACTCTATTCTTCCTGGTTTTATTTTGTTCTTTTTCTTCCGTTTCTTCTGTGGTGTTCTCCACCAGCTGTAGGCCTGGAGACATTCTCTTTTTTTCACCATTAAGTCCTGTTGGGAGAAAAAAAATCACCTTTATAGTATTTAGCCTCGTTTACATTCCTCCCTCCCACTCCCCATCACCACAGGTGATTTCCCCATATTCACCTTGCCCTTGAAAGAAGCCTGGGGTCCCATTTCTCCCTCCGCCTCCCATGAGGGAAAGCAGCCTCTGGGGAAAACGCCTGGCAAAAATAACAGAGCCAAAGGATTGTATGAACAGCCATATTCCCCTGACTTGTCAAGCTGGCTAAAGGATTGACAGCTTCCTCTGGGAATTAGGGGAAAAGCAGACAGCCCTTCGATGTTGGCCAATCCTAAATGTTAATTAGCTCCAGGACTGGACTGTGTTCCACTTGAGCTCCGGGACTCGAAAAACCCTGCAGCAGCACAGTGAGTGATGAAGAGGCAGGGAAATCCATCACTCTTGTCCAGAACAGATCTCAGCTGTCCCTATCTCCTCTCACCTAGGTTTTCTTCTTCTCTTAAGTGAGATGTCTCTCCTCACTACCCAGCTGTGAGTCACTCCCCCAGGCCAGGAACAACAACAGGAGGCCGATTAATGGAATGTAAGGAGAAAGCAGACCAGGAACAGGCACTAGCTTGGCTGAGGGAAAACTCAAACCCAGATGCAAGGCCAGGAAGAAAGAGGCATAAAAAGTGCCTCTTAAAAAAAGAAAAAACAAAACCCCAAAAACCACAGTTTAAAAAGGAAGTGGGGCAACTACACAAAAGAGGAGGGAAACAACAGCTGTATTAACACAGGTTGCCTCCCTCGCATTCTAAAGAACAAGGAATTCCAAAAATAAGAATATTGTTTTGCAGCATTTTTTACTTACGCAGGCTTTAATGTTCTTCCTCTAGAACACCTCTACATACATCTTATATAGAGAGTGTTATGCGCACGGTCCTTCCGAAGAACTCATGCTCAAATAATCCAAACTGCAAAGCTTAATGTTATGCCCCCAACCTGCTTCAATTGATAAAATTAAGTGTCCAGAGGACAGCCACCAATCACGGCATTACCGGAGGAAATCATAAGACTAAAAGAACACCCAACTCAGAGCAAGCTAGCTATTTCAGCTTTACATTTACTAGGAATTCTGAGTATGGTTCTGGAATCCACTTAGGCACTGCAAGCCTGAATTCCTGACCAAACGATCTTACCTGGCTTGCCATGGTTCAAACTGTCTTCTGCCTTTCTCAAAGAATACAAATGCACAGGTTCAGTTTACTGCAGTCCTTCAGCTGAAAAAGATGTGAGGAAGGAACAAGATAAAGAATCTTAACCTTGAGATGAATTAGATGTCAAAGATGTTCACCCCACCTTGTATCTTCAATGTTATTAAGTCAGAATTTAGAAATGTTAAATTCTGACTTGGCACTGCTAAAGCAATGCAGATAAAAATATATGGCCAATGGGATTATGATTAGAAATTACCTTCACTTTTTTAAAGTGCATAAAGTTTTCCCACTGTCCACAGCACTAGAAAATTACAGAGAGCTTTTAAGTCACCTATACCTTACCCTTATTTCTGAAATATGTACATATAGTCATTCAGAAGATCCATGTTCTAAAATAGTTAAAAATAAGGCAGCAAAAATAAAGGCCTCAACAGGTTCTGTACAACCCCTATTTTTTTCCCCCCTTTTAGCCAAATTAAAGGTTGATTTACTTGTACCACAAATTATACAGCTGAAAACAAGCAGTGGTACTTCTTATATGCTGAAGAAGAGAAACAAGAGAGCGATGAGGGCATAGTACAGGTAAGTAGGATCCTTCTCCGCACCTTTTCTTAGGTATGTCTTCTCTTTTGCCTCTTCCATATACAGATTCCACTCACTACCAGTGAGTTAGCAACAGCAAATGACCTTTTACTGCTCTCACTAAACCGCTCTCACTAAACCAGTGGATACAGCTTTCCTGAAGATGTATGTACCACTCTGTCAGTTCCAATATCTTTGCTTTACGCTTTTTTCCACTCATCATCCAATCAATATAGAACAGTGCAGAGAAGAGTTTAATTAGCAACGTATTTTGCATCCACTTCCACACACAGCTGTTCATTCACCACTGCTGATTTTTTACATCCAGTGTTGCCCCTTTTATGCAAATACTTGATTGCTGAAGTTTTAATTCCCATTTCCATACAAGAATTTATGTAATATTTTATGTACTGGCTGATCAAATCCATATTTACACACTACAGTAAGTATGGAGCATTTGTAATGCCTTAAAGGCTTGTCCACGCAGGAGAACAGTTCAGGGCGCTACTTCTGAAAGTGGATTAGGCTAACCTGACACAGGATAGCCATATACCATAATTAGAGCACCCATGCATGGTGTTAGAGTAACTATGCACTTCATCCCCACACCCATTCTGAAGCCAAGAAAATAGTCAAGTACAAACAAGCCCTTAATACAGGCATATACCAGTAAAGTTAGTATATGCCCTCTTAGTAAACCTCATTATAATGAATCATCAACAGCAACTTCTTCCCGTTAAAGAAGATAATTATTAATAAAAATATCCACATAATGATGTTCCTCTAATTCAAGCATTACTTTTTAATAATAGGAACCATAAACTCCATGCTCTAAACACTAAAATACTAATTCTTGAACTCACAACTACATACTACCTTTTTTTTAAAAAAAACTTACCAGTCTTTGTGTGCAGATTTAACAGAAAATGGCAGGCACCAGAAAGCAGTTTTATTGCAAAAGATATCAGAAGGCAAGTGATGAAATTGTTTCTCGATCACAGTTATCAGACTTTCATGCAAAACTGAGTTTGTATTCTTTTCCCATCTGATCTTGACTGTCGCCTCTTGATCTTTTCACTAGAAAACAATAATATTTTAAAAGCAATTAAACCAGCATGTATTAACATCTTTTTACATTTGGCTGAACTGTAGCTACAGTCACAGCCAGCTTACTATTTAAGCAATGGGGCAGCTTTAACCTCCAGAATTCAAACACCCCCTTAATTGGATTACACACGCATTCTACCAGCCTCTTTATTTCACATTTTTATTATTACATTTGTACCAGCAAAAAGGTGGATGAAGCGATTTACTAATACAAACCATCTTTAAGAACACTGCTCACCCAAAGCAGAGAGCAAGCCACCCCCCTTCTGCATTCATTTCGCCCACATGAGGAGCCGAGTGAGGGCAGCGGGCTGGGGGAACCTCTCTGAGCGCCGCAGGCCGGCGCGGTGACCCCGACCGAGCTACCCGAGGAGCCCAGGCCCCAGCCGCACC